ACTTAGATTCGCCCAGGTGATTGAAGTTAATATGATACATACCATATTATTCGCCCAGATAAGTGGAGATACTATGATTATGATAACTTACAGTAATTCCTGATGATTGCTACACTGCACTGAAGTTAATTTACTTTACTTTAATACTTTACTTGTATCAAGCACTGAAGTTAATTAAAATTAAAGGTACTCTATACCAATATTTAATCTAATATGATATTAGATCAAAAAAACTCAAATATACAAGTGTATACACACTTAGAAAGAAAACGCACAGAGAAGGTAACACAAAGACGGTAAGATATGGTGAGTCTTTCCTCAGAGACCGCCCCAATAGAACTAAGTCTTGACTCAACGAGAGCCCGCTCAGAAGTGGTCTCCTCTTGCAAAAATTTACCAAACTACAAAAAAATAAATGTGAGGGTATCTCCCACCTAAAAATGATAGGGCAATTGTATGTATTTCTGAGAAGGTAAGGTTATAACGACATCGGAAAATTCGAGTTAAACAACGGTACTAGCAATTGGACACGAGAAAATTAAAATCCTTTGGATTAGGTTATTATAGAAAGAAAACATTACAACGTACCCCCGACGATATTTACCGAATTTATCCAAAAGAACCCGGAAAAGGGTAAGCCAAAAATTAAACAAACCGGCGTCTTGTCGATTCTTCTATATGTTGAGGTAGTTGATAGGTTCAATAATATTTTGCCCATGTTAAACCGACCATGAGCGTATCAGCACGGGGATAAAAGAATTAACAATAATTTATTATTTTAATTATAAAAAAAATGTTACAGTGCATTGATTAATGATCAGTGTAGTAGTGTTTGGGGATTCGGGAGACTGAGACCACGGAAGCCTTAACGAAAATATCAGAGGATGTCGAAAGCTCGTCACAATGAGAATCAACGCGGTTCAACCCAGTAGACTGTTGAGTTTAGTATTCACTTTTGTAATAGTAATAACACTTAACCACTGATATGCGGTATATCATACCACGTCGAAAATGTATTTTATTGTAAAACGTGTTTTATAAAAGATTCCTAAAAAACTATCTGTGTACCTTCAAGTGGTGTGTAATTATACCTGCTCCCAACTGCTGCAGAAGTTTTGATAACCCTTTGGATAGAGAGGAAATGAGAAAGATAGATCTAACAGCAGCCATTAGTAACATATTTAATATATTTATATCAAATTGTCAAAAACTGTATTCCATTGGCAAATGTGTTTGTAAATGAAATGTTGGTCGGCTTTAGGGAATGGTGTAGGTTCAAAATGTAAATGCCTAATAAGTAAAATATGGCATTAAAATAATGTGCCTGACTGATGCGTGAATATGGGGACAAGGACACTGACGAAACAGGGTTATCTGAGGAAGAAAAGAAGATGAATAAACCAACACAATCAGTTCTTCTCAATCTAGGCTTGCTAAACCTATTTATGGAACCAACTGTAATATTACAGCCGATAACTGGTTTAGTTCTAAAGAATTAGTACAGCAGTTAGAAGTAAAGAAGTTAACCTATGTCATAACCCTTAAGAAAAATAAACGAGAAATCCCTGCGGAATTCCACCCACGCCGATGCAGTGAAGTAAATTCGACGGATTTACGAAAGGTTTAACCCTAATTTTTCATGTGCCAAAAAAATTGAAGACTGTTTTACTTATTTCTTTGATGCACCAGTCAATAAGCACCGATCAGATTAGTGGAAAACCGGAGATTATAGCTCATTACAATCTTACAAAAGGATGTGTCGATACGTTAGATGCCAAGTGTGCTAAATATGCTGTTAAACGTCGTCATTATAGAATATTCGACAGAATTTACAGTAAATCTAATAAGCAAAAATTGGAATACAGTCAAAACTATAGTAGGTCTGTACAGGGCGTTGTAATCTGTATAGGCACTTGAAGCAGATGGGATTCTCAGACGATGATCTATGCAGATTCTGTTACCTCCAGGAAGAAACAGCAGTGTTAAGATTTTTTATATCAAATTAAAGTTATTTTTTCGCAAATTAGGGTTGCCAGCTGTGCAAAACGCAGGGTATCAAAGACAAAGTAAAAGTGATGGTAATGTGCAACGCCACTGGTTTGACATGGCAGGTGTCAGTTGTGTGAGTTTTTAAAGTATGATAGATAGAGTTAATCTTATATACTAAAACGCTAAGCCCTTTTCTTGTCCACCACTTTACTCAAAAACCATATTAGATAATTACAATATTTTTTCGGAATATTATTAGTATTACGTATGAGATTGTCAAGCTATACTTTTGGTACAAAAATTCACTTCCGGTTTTGAGATGACCGGAAGTTAAAATTTACTTTAAGTTTTAGATCCCACAATGGATCGACAGGTCTCGTCGAGACGAATCTAAATATGTACTTCCGGTTGCGATCCGACACTGGAAGTGATCCGAAACGCGCATAAAACGTCAAGATCGAGCAAATCTGACACCGGATTCGTGATCAGCATGCAAAATTAACTGCTAAATGATATCCACGTCGACATTTGATGAACTAAAAATTGTTTTCGACAAAATATTTCTTGATATTTAATACACTTTTTACTTGCATTATTATTGATGAATGTTATGTATATTCTTGCTTATATTGTGTGTATTGATCTCTTAATTTTTCTCGCAAAATAAAAATTTTATTTAAAAACTCGATGTCGAGTTGGTCCGCTAGTAATATACATATTATGACTTGCCAAACCAGTGTCATTGCGCGCTAACACTATATTACTTTTTATTAGATACCTCGCATTTTTACATCTACTCTTTTCACTTAGCTTTAATTTAATATAAAAAAAAACATGCATTTACGTCATGAAGAGCATATTTTATTTAAAAATAAATGAACCAAATAAATTTGTTGATCAAAAATTAATTACCATTAATTAAACTAAAATTCAATATCCAATAGTTTTGATTAAAGCTGCAATATTGGAGTCAGAAAGTAGAACAGAACAACATAGCTTCTTTTTCAAGATTAGCTTTGTGTTTGGAAGATTGCGAAAATTTTACTTTTGCTGATATCAAGGATACTTGATAGGTTTTCAGATTACTTTCCAGATCTTGATATACGTACTGTCAGTTGGATTGTAGATCCTTTTAAACGTGAAATTGATATGATACCAGAAGAACCTTCAGGTTTGGCAGAAGCAATTCTTGAACTTTGATCTAATACTGAAGCACGTATTCAATTTGAGAGTAAACCAAATCTGTCGTCTTTTTGGATATCAAAAGCTGCAAAGGCTTTCAAAACTGCACATGAAGAGGCGGTTAAAAAATTGCTGCCATTTGGAACAACATATTTGTGCGAACAAGGCTTTTCCACTCTAGTGAACATAAAAACGAAGAACAGAAATCGACTAAACGCCGAAGACTGTATTCAAATCGCTCTTACATCAAAAAGTCCCAAATTTGAAGCAATTGTATCGAACATGAAACAACATCATTTCTTCAAAACGTGAAGGAAGAATGTTTTCAATTATTCTTTTTTTTATAATTTTTGTCAATTCTAATTTTTGTTAGTACAAACCATTATTATTATTATATAATTTGTTACAGTACCGCAATGGGTTTAAATTTTTTATATCTTATTATTGTTATCTATTATTATGTTATGTATTTCTATGTTTATTTTATGTTTTAGTTATTGTTTTCTGTTCAAATCTATCACGGGGGCTATAATATGAATGATTCTAAAAAGAGGCCTTTTTTTTTGCTTTTTTGTTTTTTGACTTGGGTAATATCAACTTACACAAAAATGTTTTAGGGTAATGATTAAAAAAGTTCCCCGACCGCTGATATAGTTGGTTTTGTTTTTCCTGGTTGTAGATCACAAGAAAACTGCAAAATTATGCTAGAATGTAACATATTAGATTTAATCTGTTGATTATCTCGCAGAAATTCAGTATTTTTTAGTAAATTTTATTTATTGATAACAAATGGGACAAACTTACTGTCAAAATTAAACAAGAATCCAGCATTAAAGAAATTGTAAGTACACACTTATTTACACAAAGTATCTTTTTGCATTTTAGTGCTTCAAATAGAACCTAAAGATATTGATACATAAGTTAAACTAATATATCTAATGAGGTAACTGATTACAACGCATGAAAAGTAGCCATAATTTATTCTGTGATAGGAAACATAAAAAAGTGAATTCTAAAGCAGTGAACGGGAAGGAATATGTAAAACAAATTGGATGAAGCAATTCAGGAAATTGGATTATTAAGCTAAAAAATAATGATCAAAGTCAAAGTTAACTCTCCTGGTAAGAAAAAAAACTAGATTCAAGAAATTGATCACACCAGAATAAGAATATGGTCTACGCAGTTTAAAAGAACAGTATTTAAAAAATATTTGAATTCTCTCTAACTTTTTGATACATGCATTTGCATACCTTTGTTGCATATAAGATCTATTTTCAAATTAAAAGACAAATTTCTGTGAAAAACCATAATTGAATCTGTAACATTATTGACTCTCAGGATCAAAATATTCTCTAAATTATAAATAAATACCATAGACTCAAGAGATCTATAAAACTGGATCACCCGATATTTAAATATATATACATGGGACCAAATGTGAAAAACGTCCTTTTTTTATTTTAATAATTGTAATATATATTGGAAGTGAATTGAAAAAAATATTATTCAAACATGAATAAACAAAGTTTGGTTAAAATTGACGTATACGGTTGTCCGATATTGATTACTCGATTACCGCAAGGCCGAGATAATCAACAAAAAAAGAAGATGTATTTGGTGACTTTTCTAGTAACTTTCTCGGGTGTGAATCTTACTTTTTGGTTTACTCCTCCTGGTTAAAAAACAGAGTATAGCAATCTATTATCAACATATTTGCCTATTTTTATATAAATGTAAAAATATGAATTTGATTAATTACGTTATGAACGTGAAAAACAGTGCATATCTGTCATGTAAACTCAGATAAATTTCATTTCATGTGTCATTAAAAAAACTTTGTAAAAATTTTCCAAATTTATTGTTAAGAAAGCTCACATATTAAAAAATCAATTAATATGAAACAGTACAAGAATAATCAATGAGTAGGATTCTTGGTATGTTCACAAGATGTATATCAACAAATTGCTCCACTTCCTACAGGTATTTGAAAACTACCAAAAAATTACGATACAAAACTCCTCAACTTCAATTTATTGGCGTAAGAAACTATGGCAAATATCGAAATATTAATACTACAAATCGTTCAAAGAAAATAGCCATATTCGGAGTACCTGCGCTAATTTTAACTTCTTTGTACTTCCGAAAACTTCGAAGGGCCAAAGAATCAAAAAATAAACTTTATCAGTATAGAAAAGATATGGGTGAGCTAACAAGGTCACACTCTACCGACTCGATATCCAGTTTACCAGCAGAACCTACCGAAAATGATCAAAATCTTAGGGAACGCTACAACTTTATTAACAAAGTTGTTACTCAATGTGCGCCGGCAGTCTTTTACTTAGAAATTAGAGATCCCGTTAAAAAAGATATAGACGGACTCCCCCTAATAACATCAAATGGATCTGGATTTATTATAAGTGATGACGGTTGGGCGCTTACAAATGCGCATGTCATTCTAAACAAACCACAGTCCATAATAACAGCAGTAAGTTTTATAGATTTTTATTTTATTTTACACTTTAATATATTAGTTTGTATTTCACAACTTTTCATAATTTAAAAGAAAACTTGGTATACTATTGGAAATGTTACAGTTATCAACAAGACGGTTATACATAATAAATATTTATTTTGATGCACACGCAAATAAAAGTCGGGTATTGTTTGATATTATTCTATATCAATTAGAATCTTTTGTGGGTCCCTTACTTCTCCAAGATTCGTCACCATTCTGTTCAGTTCTAGCGACCAGTTGCCACCTGCTAATTTTTAATACTCTTAACTCCTATTTTCTACAGAGACTCCTGTAATGTTTACATTGCCTGACATTCGTATTATGTGTATATAATGTTCGTGTGTGTATATAATGTACGTTACGAGGTCTGGTTCATTAAAGATTTGATATGATTTGAGCTTACATCTTTTTTACCACTGCTCTTGGTCGTTTATAGCTCCAAATATCTTGCAGAGTATTTTACTCTTGTATATTCCCAATTGTCCATATGTCTGTAAGATTTAACTAATTAAGCCATCAAGGTGATAATGTACGTGAAACTATCAATACGTTTAAAGATATGACTTCCAAAGACTGTTTTCCGTTCCTAAGATTTGTATCGATCGATTAGAAACAATACCGCCACCTTTAATTTGCTTTCTTTGGACAGCCCTTTCCAAAGCAATGTTAAATATGAGAAGGAATAGTGTAAAGGGATTTGCCAACCCATCCTTTATCTAAGAAGTTCTAGAATTCTCTGCCTAACTTATCATCATCATCTTTGGCTCGACAATCCTCTGTGGATCTTGGCCTGCTCTAAGATTCGTCGCCATTCTGTTCGGTTTTTGGCAACATGTTGCCATCTTCTAATTTTTAATATTCGTAAGTCGGTTTCTACTCCATCTAACCACCTAATTCGCGGTCGGCCTTTGCTTCTTTTTCCTACAGGTGTTCCTGTGGTTAGTTTTTTAGCAATGGTATTTTCTGGCATTCGTATTATGTATCCAGCCCATCTAAGTCGCTGTGTTTTAATGAACGTTATGACATCTGGCTCATCAAAGAGCTGATACAATTCAAAATTATATCTTCTGCGCCACTGCCCTTGGTCGTTTACAGCTCCAAATATTTTGCGGAGTATTTTACGCTCAAATATTCCCAAAAGTCTTTCATCTTTCTGCGTTAGTGTCCATGTTTCTGCTCCATATGTGAGGACCGGCCTCAGCAATGTTTTGTATATAATAATTTTAGTTCTTCTTTGAATGTTTCTTGAGTGGAAATGCTTTTGGAGTCCATAGTATGCCCTATTTGTAAGATTTATTCGTCTTTTGATTTCTTCGCTTGTTTTATTGGTAGCAGTCAATAGCGACCCAAGGTATGTGAAGTTGTCAACACGTCCAAAGGTATGACTTCCAAAGACTGTTTCTCGTTCCTCATTTGCTATCGGATCCTTTGTAACCAACATGTACTTGGTTTTATCTCGTTGATGACTAGACCGACCTGTTTCGCAGCTGTTTCCAATTCTAGGAGATATTGCTCAACATCTCGCTTGCTACGCCCTATTCTGTCAATGTCATCAGCATATGCTAAGACTTGTATCGATCTATTGTAAATAGTACCTCCGTCCCTAATTCGTGTATCTCTGACTGCCTTTTCTAAGGCAATATTAAATAGGAGGCAAGCCAGAGCATCTCCTTGTCTGAGTCCATCCTTTATCTTAAAGGATCTAGAACTCTCTCCCTGTATTCTAACAGTGGCTTCTAAGTTAAAAATTGTCATTCTCGTTAGTCGGATAAGTTTCTCTGGTATACCAAACTCATGCATTGATTGGTATAGCACTGTTCTCTTGACACTGTCGTATGCTGCCTTGAAGTCGACGAATAGGTGATGGGTTTCAATATTGAATTCTAATGTTTTCTCGAGAATCTGTCTTATTGAATGAATCTGGTCAATTGTTGATTTTTCTGGAGTGAATCCAACTTGATATTTACCAACTATGCCCACTGTGTAAACTTGCAACTTTTCGTAGAGAATATTTGCTAGTATTTTGTAAGCAGTTGTTAACAGGGTTATACCTCTATAGTTGTCACATTGGAGCTGGTCACCTTTTTTATGTAACGGGCATATCACGCCTTGAGACCATTCACAAGGCATGGTCTCATTATGCCAAACAAGAAGTAAAAGCTTATGCAGTGTCTGTAGTAGGGCATCGCCACCATTCTTGTAGAGCTCACTGCAAATTTGATCAACTCCTGGTGATTTATTATTTTTAAGCTTTTTAATGGCTTGGGCAACGTTTTCGATGGTAGGTGATCTTTCGTTTGGGTTGAAAGGATTCCAATCATTTCGATTTGCTAGGGTGTTATCTGCTTCTTCGATATGATGGCCATTAAATTTTGCATCGAAAAATTCAACCCATCTGTTTAGGATTGAGGCCGTATCATTTAGGATGTTTTCTTCTAGATCCTTACAGCTCCTTATTCTTGGCTTAAACTCTTTGCGCATTTTGTTTAGATGTCTGTAGAACTTTCGAGTTTGATTTTGATTTCTTAGGAATTCTGTGCTTTCCAATTGCTTTTGCTCAAATTGTCTTTTCTTTCTTCTATGTAATCGTTTTTCTTCTCTTCTTAGTGTCCGGTATTCTTCCTTTGCTCTTCTTGTGCATCCAGCTTGATTTGTCTTTAGGTATGCCCTGTTTTTGTTATCTGTTGCTTCTTGGCACTCCTTGTCAAACCATTCGTTTTCTTTAACTGGTTTGGTTTTCCCCAATATTTTTGTTGCTTTCTCAGTTATTATGTTTTTACATTTTGTCCAAAGTTCCTCTACGTTTTCCCCCACCTACAGGCTCTCCATTTCTTCGTCCATTTGTCTCCTATACTCTCTCGCAACGGTTTCAATGCGCAGATTATCAACATTAATTCTGTCTTGTTTCGTGTGTTTATCTTTCTTTAGGTTTGATATTCTTCCTCTGATTTTTGCCATTACAAGAAAGTGGTCACTGTCAATATTTGGGCCTCGGTAGCTTCTGACGTCTATGAGATCGGAAGAGTGCCTTGCATCTATCAGGATGTGATCTATCTGGTTAATGGTTTCGTTATCAGGGGATTTCCATGTTCCTTTGTGTATCATTTTATGGGGAAATGTTGTTCCTCCTACTATCATGTTTTTAGTACTTGCAAAGTTTATTAGTCTCAACCCGTTATCATTTGACTCTTCATGTAAGCTCTCAAGTCCTATAGTTGGCTGGAAAAATTGCTCTTTGCCAATTTTTGCATTAAGGTCTCCAACAATGATTTTCACGTCATGACGTGGACATCGATCATATTCTTTGTCTAAGGTGTCATAGAATTCATCTTTTTCATTATCCTCCTTTTCTTCCGTACTGACTAGAAAACCACTGCCAAACTCGTGTCAGCTGCTATGTCCGCTATAGTATATATTGTAATCTCGTTTCTCGATGATTCCTGAACCAGTCCATCTCATCTCTTGAATCGCTACTACATCGGCTTTCATTTTATCAAGGTCTTGTGTTAGCAGTCTAAGAGCACCTGGGGCATAAAGGGTTCGTACATTCCATGTGCATATCCGTAAATCGTTATTCCGTTGTCGTTTGCTAGGTCGTCGTGAATTAAACAGTCCGGCTTTTCCACTTTGTGCTTTCATAACAATGAGTTTTTTTTAAGGGAAAAGGTCGTTAACCTTTTGCCCAACCCCCTAATCTTCGAAGGACCGTTTCTCCCACTCTCGTTTGCCCTGACTCTGCTTCCCACTGGGGTTGGTTACCACAATCTTCCACAGAGTTGCTCAGGTTACCAGGGTTCACCGCGTGGAGGTGAGAGTTGGAATTGAGTAGGAGAGGCTAGTGACGCTAACAGGATGCAGCGTCATATTTTACGCATCACTACCCCATTTGAACCCCTCTGCCTAACTTAACCTAGTCTAATACTTGCTTTGAGGTTGGACATTGTCATTTCCGTTAGTTGGATAAGTTTTTCTTGTATTGTAACCAAACTCACGCATTGATTAATATAGTACAATTCTGTTTTTTGTCTGTCTTTTTGAGGATTTGTCTTATTAAATGAATCTGGTAAATTATTAATTTTGCTAGAGGGACTCTAACCTTGTATTTTTCAGTTATCCCCACTGTGTAAACTTCTGGCCTTTACAGAGGTTAGAATAGAGAATATTTACTAGTGTTTATGAGCAGTTGTTAACAGGGTTATACTTCTGTATCTCAGGCTGTGTTCGTCTTAAACTAGAAATTAAACCTGAACCCTTAGCTGGTAGCAAATAAAACAAATTTTAACCAATCATATTTAGAAAAAAAATTAAAAAACAATAATTAACCCTGCCAATGCTTAACAATTAATTAGTAAGGATGAAACTTATAGCCTCGATGACCTCAATTAGCTGCTTGTGTGTTCTCCTAATTAGATGTTAGGTCCTCCAATGGTCAATAAATACTTGGATAAGGTCAATAAAGTCTTAAAGAATATGGTCAATAAGTTCGTCAATAAAGCCGAAAAAGCAGCTTATAAATAAAAGAGAATGTTGCAGACCATGAAAAGAAGCTTACAATAATTTTTACCTTCTTTAATAAACTTCAAAAACAGGCAAAAAATTATATTCCCACTACGTTAGGAAAGTTGATTGGCAAAAGTAGATAGGGACTGCATGAAGTTAGCACATATCTCATAGAATGTTCCTATACGATGGAATTAGCTTTTCTGTCAACATAGAACAGAATATTTAGTCTACCGGACAGAAAGAGAGAGGGCGAGAATATTTATTCTGAGACAGAAAGAAAGAAAAAAGAAAGACAGAGAAAGAAGAGAAAAGCAGAGGGCGCAATTACTTTTTGAAGCAAAATAGTAAAAACAAAGCTGAAGATAAAGCAATTAATAAATAAGTTAAGAACTTATAATAAAACAATTATTTAAATATAAATTAATAAATATGTGACGTTTATAACGTTACAACTTGTTACAAAATTATCGCTCTTATGTAGAAGTTAATATTTTAGAAAAAACTCAGGTTAAGTTTACTATATGCTATGAAAATTAAAAAACTTATTTTAGTAAGATATAATAAAAATTATTTTATTTTCAGGTACTAAGAGATGGTACCAGCTATAAAGTTGATGTAGAAGATATGGACATGAATATTGATTTGGCACTCTTGAAACTGGACGTCAAAGATAAAGTGCCCAGTTTAAAATTTGGTCAAGATGATACTTCCGTTGGTGAATGGGTGGTTGCTTTGGGTAGTCCACTATCTCTCAGCAATTCAGTTACTGTAGGAATTGTAAGTATTAGAGTAAAAGAGATTCCTGTCGGACCAATAGCTTTATTTCAGCGTTGTTGATAAAAATAAACGGTACCGAAAATTAACATTATACAGTAAGGTCTTGTTTTATGCGGTTGATACGTTCCACAGAAAAGTGCATTTAAATCAATTGCATAAAAAAGACATTACTTGTCTTAAAATAGTAGGAGTACGTCCAGTAACCTTTTAAAAGTACATAAAACCAAGACAAAAACAAAAATAATTGGTCCATACTTCTATTTGTTTTTGTGCCTATTTATATTTATCATATCGTGTCGATAAACAGGAAAACAGGGGATCTGTTTATTTTACTAGTATTGTTGTTAAAAGTAATCTACACTTCATCTAATTTATATAACGATGCACGTCATCGACGTCATAACCTGTGACGTCACATGATACCAACACTAAATATTTAGGATGTAGGTGTGTTCTTTTTTAGAATCACTTTAGCGAGTACACTGGCATTACAGCCACTAGACATATTTTATTATAATAGCGTAGAAATAATATTTAAAAATTTCTATTAATGTTAACTTAAAGAAATACACAATAATATGTTTCATTTAATTTGTATAAATGCATTATAAAGCGTTTTTATCAAGAACATTTGTTCAGAACACACTGTAACTGTAATCGAACGAAGATAAAATTTTGGCATAAATTGGTAACACTTATTTGACAGTTGCGGTGTTGACACTTTTTGTACTTCATTATTTTGAATTTTAAAGTGAATATCTCTTGTTATATACTTTTAACTATTTAATAAAATCTGTTCTTTTTAGAACAAAATTAGTGTGTTTTATTTCAAAAATGTCACGTAGGAATTTAAATAGTCGTTGTAAAGAGATGTTAATACTTTTGCAATAATTATGTAATCTATTTGATTTAAAATGGAGTCAGGATTTTTTTTATACTTTGGCAAATATGTCAACTTCGATCTCTGACGTAGATAATGACGTAAGTCGTTATCTAAATTAGATGAAGTATAATTATTTGTAAACTTCGTCTGCAGGTGGATGTTTTTCAAAGTTGTCTAGTTCTAAAACGTGTTTAAAATAGCTTAATTCTTCAATACTCTTTCAGTTTAAATTATAATGTTTTTCTATTATTTTTTTTAACATCAACTGCTTTTTCTTATTTTACTTTTAAAATAAATCATTGCATTTTAACGTGGTCTACGATATTTATTCTTTATTTATTAAGAGCGGTTTCAACATCATATCTCTTGATGTATTGCTTAAAAGTATGTAATAATGTTACACGATCTTTACTTACTTGTCCACTTGCAGTTTTTTCATCCTTTGCTATGTAAGTACGGTTAAGCATTTTTTTCCAATATAGTCCCGTTTCATTAGCGTTAAATACTTGATCGCCACAATAATTTTTGCTAGCTCATGTGGAAATTTTTTGCCACTGCTTTATCTGCTCTGGCACTCTCTCCTGTGATTTTGATATTATGAAATGTATTTTTTTTATAAACTTGATTAGCCATCTTTGCTAGCTAAAAGTTTTTTACCAGCTTGGGAAGTGGAAGTTGGTGTATCTGACTGTTTCATTAACTCATAAAACTGAAGAGCTTTTTCCTGGATTAAATAACCACTTACAGAAATTCTTCTTTGAATTAGTTTCTCAATTCAAATTGTGATGGCTCTTTCTATTTTTTCTAATGCTACATCCCCTGAGTAAAATAAAATTTCGCGGGCCAAATGAGATCTTAAAAAAAATAAAATAAATTAGACTTACGATATTGAGACGCCAAAAACCTCTTCTAATGAAAAATAAAACTTACGACACTCACTTGAAATCTTTCAATCCGAAAACAGTGCTGCTTATTATACTGCAACTTCATGTCAGCAAAATTTTAAACAACTTAGTATAAAACGAATCACCGCTAAGAGAAAAATTATTTTAAAACAATATCAGGTTATACCTTTTAATGCGAAACTCGCAATGATGTAATAGGGACATCATGTAATTAGACAAAGGCTCACTTTACTGACATCTAATTGTGAATAATTAATATTTAATTACAATAGTAATAGAGATTTGTTAATGAAATACAAACGGCGCAACTTTAAAATTGCATAAAAATAATCTGCATAAAAAGAGACCTTACTGTACTTAATAATTGTTTTTTATAATTGACGCTTGCGGTAAAATAAGTTTTATATTAATTTTACAGATTATTTGTTATATTTGCAAGTATTGCTTGTAGCAATTATTGCTTAAAATGGGTTACTATCTTTTTTAGTTTGCGTTAGTAGCCGCAAAAATACCATTGCAGCCTATATTAGACAAAGTTCGGGATTTAGTTACTAACTGTTAACTACCGTGAACTTATTTACTTACAAAAAAAAACCTGTATAATTTTGAAAAACCAAACTGCGCAAAATTTCAGGCAGATATTACTGGGGTGTACTCATGATACTATGAACAAAACCCACGCGCACGCGATTTACGCGCACGTTGACAAATAAATGTGTGCAGTTTTAGATGAAATATATTTCAGAATATTTAATTAAAGATAAACTTTTATCACCAAGTGACGTCATGCGCATCGACGTACAAAATTCGATTGTGAAGTGGTTTTATCTTGGAAGTCATAGTATCATGGGTGTACCTAGATCCTTGTTATTCTGATAGGTATTTATCGACTGTGTATCATTGCAGTGTTGATGCTCGAACTGTAAGTTTGTAATTTGTAAAACCGGTGCAGTGGACCGTGTGCGTCTAGAGAAGTAATAAAATTTACTGACTTGTAAGTAAATGTTTTATAATAAAACTTAATTTTTCTGATATTATGGATTACAAAAAAGAGCAAAAGAGATTGTTAACACCTTTTGAAGAAGTTTTGACGGCTGATGTATGATGTATGATATATGAAGTATGATGATAAAGAGGAATCGGGAGAAGATCATGTAGAAGGGAGCTTGGAGAAAAGCGATACGGAATAGGAAAATGAGAAATTAGATGATGAGACAGATTTTGCCATTGGTCTATATTTTTTTGGTAAAGATAATAAAATAAAATGGGCTACGCATATTGCCCCTAAGAACGTTACAACCCGAAGTGAAAATATTTTCTGCAGCTTCTGGGTTCAAAACAATGTATCAGAAAGAAAACTAGATAGATATGTGATATCTGTCCAGTTATTAGATATATTAGATATATTAGATATATTTTAGATATCTGGAACAATCTATTTGATATTAATATGTTAAAAATAATTGTTGATAAGACCAATACAAAAATAAAAGCAGAAGTTTAGTCGCGATCGAGATATATACCCAACAAACATTGATGAAATTCATGCCCTTCTAGGTCTCTTTTATCTTACAGGGGTAAGAAAGAAAGGTCACCTTAATACAACATACTTGTAGAAAACGGACGCTACTGGTATCGAAGTATTCCGATTGATAATGTACATCACTAGATTCAAAAATTTACTAAGCTACATGCGAACTGATAATATTAATACAAGACATGATAGAGTTAGTTTCTCTAGAGTAGTTAGAATCTTATTACCAAGTGGAACGAAAATCAATGAAAAAATGGCCTGTCAACTAGCGTTGATCTTGGTATAAGCTTGTAGGAAAATGGCTCAACTCTCTTGGGAACAATAAAAGTAAATAGAAGAGAAATTCCTGCTTATTTTTCTAACAATCAAGGGTTTGGGTTTGGTTTAAGAGAAACACTAGTGTCATATAAACCAAAAAACAAAAACAATCTGTTATGTTCCACTATGCACCATGGGAAAAACTTTGAACCTGTAACTGGAAAACCGGAAATCATATTAAGGTATAACAGCACAAAAAGTGGTGTTGATACCATAGATAAATTATTATACGTACAATATGATGTGGCACATTATAGTAGAAGATGGCCTATGGTTGTTTTCTACAGTCTTTTAAATGTTACAGCAATCAATTCCTTTGTTATTTACAATTGTAACATTCCAAATTCCACAAAGACCCGACGAAAAGTTTTGACAAATTTAGCCTGTAGCCTTATGTAAAACCATCAGAAGAATCGAAGCCAAAATGTCTATATACTCAAGATAATAAGAATTCGACTAAAGGCGATCTGTCATTTGGATGAAGATGTCCAAGTTCAAAGAACTTCAACAGCAATTGAAAGGTGTGGTGACTGTGGATGAAAAAATAATCGAAAAATGAAATATATTTATTAATTAGTTTAAAGCGCCTTTGTTTGGAACATGTAAATCCAATTTGCAATGACTGTATCAATATTCCTTTCGTTAAAGTTAAAGATAACTTTAACGAAAGCTACTGCCGAAAAACTGAGGGTAACACAAAGGCGAATGGAGAGATCAATGCTGGGCCTGACCTTGAAAGATCGCGTAAGAAATGAGGAGATACGCCGACGAACTGGCGTAGACGATATTATACTGCGAATCAATAAACAAAAGTGGAGGTGGGCTGGACATGTTGCTAGAATGGAAGACGGAAAATGGACGAAGAGATTATTGGAGTGGAGACCAAGAGCCGACAAGCGAAGTCGAGGCAGACCACCCACCCGATGGACCGACGACCTAAGGAGGATAGAAACAAACTGGATTACAGCAGCTAGAGATAGAGAGAACTGGAGACGTTTAGAGGAGGCTTATATCCAACAATGGATGTGAAAATTCGGCTGGATGATGATGATGATGTAACAATATTCCAGCTTAATTTTATTATGTTTTTTGCCATCACTTATATTTTTTTGTGATAAGTCTTTAGACAGTGAAATAATGTTGAATTTTTGTTTAAGATAGTTCTTGAAGACCGATATGTTATGTTCTAATTCTAAATTAATTGTAATTTGTTTGGTAAAAAACAGAATAAATTAAACTATTACAAAAATTGTGGACTATTTTTTGTTCTACGTAAATAAACATTTCAAATAAACAAAATATGTCATTAATAATAAGTAATGTTAAACACACTACAAAGAATAGATTATTGTATTGAAAA